GTGTTTTCCCCTAAAATAAAGAAATAGAACAGAATTATAAGAAATAGGCTCCCTTATTTAAGAAATATTTATTGAGCACAAATTTCTGAGCTAGATTTGCTGGGAGATTCATAAGCAGGTCAGAGCTGGATGCTGCCTAATGACCAACCACTAATATTTGTAACATATATGTATATGGATAGGTCACATATTTTAGGTTTTTGCTGCAGCAGCGCCCTACTTCCAGTACCAATTTTTGTGTTAGTGTAGATTACGTTTGTTTGCTAGCAAACAACTACAAAAATCTCAGTGGTTTAGAAAAGCAGAGATGTATTTCTCATTTATACTACTGCGTATGTTAGCTGAGGGCTCTTTTCCACTTTGTCCTGACTCTAGGACCCTCACTGATAGAAGCAGCCACCATCTGAAACATTGTTAAGGTGACAAATTAAAGAAGGCCGCAAATTCTTTGTCACTCTTCTCCCTAGTCTACATCAAGAGGTGGAGTTTGTTTTCTCCACCCTTTGAAATTGAGCTGCCCCTGTGAATGCTTTAACCAACAGAATGTGTTATTTCTATGCCTAAGACATACAAGACCTGGAAGCTTTTACACTTCTGAGACTCCTGAAGCACCATGAAGAAATCAGGCTACTTTGCTGGAGAAGCCATGTGAAGCAAAGGCCCTGGGATAACAATGTGAAGAAGAAAGGCCTGGCCATTCTAGCATCCCATGCAAGCCTCCTCAGTACTCCAGCCCCAGAAAATACCTGGCTGCGACCACAAGAGATCCCAAACAACATCAGACAAGTGCTCATGAGCCCATTCAATCCACATAACCATGAGCAATAGTAAAAATGGTTACTGTTTTAAGTCATCAAGATTTGGGGTGGTTTGCTATGCAGCAACAGATAACTAAAATATCCCTTCACTGCACCAAAAGGAAAGAGCATATGAGAAATTGTGCATTCTTAAAGCTTTTACTTGTAAGTGACACGGGCCACTTCTAATCAACATTGCACTGGCCACACTGAGTTCAAATGCAAGTCTACTCTGTGTGTGGAAAAAGAAATGGAAATATTTGGTGGTTAGTACTATTATCTCCCAGAGAAAGGTCAGGGCTGAAGAGGTACACACTCCATAGAGAAGACAAGTAAATCAGTAAGTAGATAAAATGTCAAGAAAAAAAGAGTAAGGAGTGAAGAAAAGAACATAGATAACAAGAGATGCTTGTAGATGACCTCTGGGCAAGGTAGGGATGAATATAAGGAAGAAAAGAAAGGTAGAAAAGATTTAGAAAAGAAACATCTAGAGAGGTAAAAGGAGACATTTAGGGATCCAAAGGAGAGTTTCAAGAACAGAACAGTCAAAAAGAACATAAAATAAAATGGATGGTATAGGCAAGGAATTTGTAGATATTCAGAGATCAATGTGAGTTGATATAGTCACAGGCCTGGGACAGAGGTAGAATTAGAGAAGTAAATGAAAGATAATAGAATTTGGATGGTTGGAAAGGAAAATGAAGGGTACTCTTACTGAGAAAGAGAGTAAAGTCTTGAAGTGGGGAATAAATTTAGCAAATGGGAGAACAGGACTAGATATTATAAAGGGAAACACATCAATGTAATAAAATTTATGTGTAAAATAGATTAGGTTTGCTGCAGAAGGGGAAGACAGGGAAGCCATTTGTGGATTTATGGAGACCTATGACTGCCAGCTGAGATTTCTAAGTGGTTTCCTTTAAATATCTGAGCACCACTGAAGACAGGGTGCCTAAGTAAAGGAATTAAGTATACAGAACTAGTACCCTCATGTGGAATGAGGAAGGGAAAGACAGAGCAAGCCATCAGTGAGAAAATTACAGTATTCAAAGCAGGAGTAGGATATTCCTACTGGGAGAATTTGTTACCTGCTGGGGGCTAGGGTGAGAACTCCCTTAAAAACCAGTCCAGGGAACGCCTGCCTGGCTCAGTTGGTTGAGCGGCTGCCTTCGGCTCAGGTCATGATCCCAGCGTCCTGGGATCGAGTCCCGCATCGGGCTCCTTGCTCCGCAGGGAGCCTGCTTCTCCCTCTGCCACTCTGTCTGCCTGTGCTCACTCTCTCTCTCTGACAAATAAATAAATAAAATCTTTTAAAAAAAAGGGGGGGGGGCGCCTGGGTGGCTCAGTGGGTTAAGCCGCTGCCTTCGGCTCGGGTCATGATCTCAGGGTCCTGGGATCGAGCCCCGCATCGGGCTCTCTGCTCGGCAGGGAGCCTGCTTCCTCCTCTCTCTCTGCCTGCCTCTCTGCCTGCTTGTGATCTCTCTCTGTCAGATAAATAAATAAAATCTTAAAAAAAAAAAAAAACAAACAGTTCAGGAGGCTTAAAATAAGTTGCTCAGAGAACTGGGGAAAAAAAAAAAGGTTGGGGGAGAGAGAGTTTCAAGTGTGGAGTTGAGATATTTATGTTATCAAGGATATTTAAAAAAAAAAATTTTTTAACTTTTTACTTCCGTGGCAGACAAGGTTGGTTACCTACCCAACATTCCCTACCCTTCTTTCTTGACAACAGAACTTCAGTGCTGCTCAATTCCTCTCTTCCCTCCAAACCATCAGGGAAAAGAAATCTACACATATATGATTGACATCCAAGGTAAATCCTTTGGTTTAAACCAACTGGTTTAACCACTCAGCTAGCATCATCTTTCCAGGGAGTGTGTGGGGTGGGAAGAGGGTTGGTTTTTAGTGCCCCAATGCCAGAGGTGTGCTACTGACATTTAATGGGAAGAGACCAGAGATGCTAAATGTCCAGCAATGCATGCCACAGTCCTGCATAAACACTGCCAAAATCTAGATAAACTCTTACCAATCATGGTAGTCCCAAGCTCCTTGTCAGTTACTGTTCCAGGGAATAGTGACCCACTGGTGAATAACATATAAGTAGTGGCCTGCTATGAAATCTCTGAGGTAGTTTCTTCCTGTTGTTGATGTCATCCCAACTGTATGACACCTGCTACTGCTACAAGCATCCATCTTCTCCCCAAAATCAGTTTCTTCCCAATCATCCTGTTTCCATCATTGGCATTTCCTGTTACCAAGTCCTCAAGCAGTTTTGGCTTTTAACCATTAATCTCAGGATGACTACTCACTCAGATATGCCTGGGACAATCTAATTTTAATCCTGTTCTCCAGGTGTAGAGTGCCCCCTTTCAGTTCTAGAAGTATTTTTAGATTGAAGGCTAGATTATACAGTCACTTACTTTTCCCAACTAAACGCTGTTCACTCTGCCTCAAGAACGTACCTTTAAAGCAGGAGTAAACCAAACTATGGCCTGTAAACTCTTCCAACACTTCTGGAGATTAAAAAAAAAATGTTGAAATGGTTGAAAAAAATCAGTATTTCACAACCCCTAAAACCTCAGTATCCATAAATAAGTTTTATTGTAATACAATCATGCTTATTCCTTTAAGTATCTTTGTGGTTGCTTTATTATAACAGAGTAATAATTATGAAAGACAGTGCCTAAAATACTAACATTTGGCCTTTTATAGAAAAGCTTGCAGACCACTGTTCTAATGCCACTTAGTTCTAAGTTTCCTAATTTCTTGCACAAATACCGTAACCTATTAATTTCTTTTCCATTCTTTTCTCACTCCAATCCTTAATATCCCTGGTAATCCTTATAGAGAAGTTTTCATCCTGTCACTTGCCACTGTAAAATCTTCAGTGGCGGGGAGTATTAAGTCGAAGCCTATCTGTTCACTGAAGATTATTAACCTAGTCTTCCAAACTTTGCTCCTCCTGACTACTTAAAGCTTAAATGGACCACTTGCCGTTTCCCTAATAAGTACTTCAGCTCCTATCACACGCCCCCCATTGCGTGTCCATGTCTCTCCTCCATCGCACGGGTTCCTCAAGATAAAACCCAAACTATTACTAATCCACCTTCATTCACTCATCACACCCGTAGTTCAAAGCAGGTTGTTCTTGAGGTGGGCGTAAGGGAACTCACTGACAACAAAGAAAACAGACTCGGGCAGGAAAGAGCGAGTCAGAATTGAGTGTTTGAGGTAAGGGGCCCAGAATGAGGCTTCAGGGGTGACATTTACACCAGATTTTTTAAGGACTTGGGAGTCCTTAAACTGTAAATACAGCTGAATGAGAGAACAGAAGGACCACCTCATTCTATGCACTTCCCTACCGCCAGAGACTATGATTTAAGGATTAACACCTTTAGTCTAAAACCTGAAAGAAAATTCTACAAGAGCAGCCGTGACCAAAACCACCCGGGAGTGGTTGCTCGGTGCCAGCGCAGACAGCAAGTAGATTCCGGATGCCCAAAAACCCGGGTGAGGGCTCGGCGAATTCATTCTCCGCCAGGAAGACTCCCGCCGGCAGCCAAAACTTTTGGGTGGTAGCTTTGCGCGCCCACGCTCCAGGCTTCCCGACAGGCGCTACGGCACCCGAGTGAAAAAGACACGCCCCTCAATAGTTTGCGCCAGCAATTAAAACTGTGTCGTGGCCTCCCAGAAGCCACCAACCTGCGCCTTCGAAAAGGCGACCAGACCAGACCCCGCCTCCGCGGCAGGCTCGGCGCACGTGAAATCCCCATGCGGACAGACAGCGAAGAAGCGGGAGTTCGCGGAGGCGAACTCAGGCCTGGGAAGGGAAGGGATTCCACGGCGCACGCGCATTGCGAGGGACCGGGCGGAGCCTGACTCCCAGACAGGGTGCAAAGGAAAGGAGAGCGCGTGGCGCTCTGGAACCCGCGCACGCGCCGTAGTCTCACTCAGCCTTTGCGCGCGCGCGGCCGGCGCAGCATCTTTTCCTCAGGCCCGCCCCTCTCTTCTACTTCAGCAAGCCGAGACGACGAGCGAAAGCAGGGAAGTGTGGGGCGAGGTGGGCGGGGCGTCGCACGCGAGCGCGGCCTGCTAAAGAAGGGAGGAGGAGGGAGAGATCCAAGACAACGTTACCCCGTCAACACCCAATGGAGAGCAGGCTTGACCCCGCCCCCTCCCCTCATGTTATTGGCTGGGAGGCCCCAGATGGGCGGGGTTGGTCGTGGGGTTGGGGAGGGCAGGGGGCGGGGAGGAGGAGGAAGGCGCTGGCGGGCAGTGATGGCGGCGGGTGATGGGGACGTGAAGCTAGGCACCCTGGGGAGTGGCAGTGAGAGCAGCAGCGACGGCAGCAGCGAGAGCCCCAGCGGCGCGGGAGCGGCAGCCGAAGGGGGCGGCTGGGCGGCAGCAGCGTTGGCGCTTTTGACGGGGGGCGGGGAGATGCTGCTGAACGTGGCGCTGGTGGCGCTGGTGCTGCTGGGGGCCTACCGGCTGTGGGTGCGCTGGGGGCGGCGGGGTCTGGGCGCCGGGGCCGGAGCGGGCGAGGAGAGTCCCGCTGCCTCTCTGCCTCGCATGAAGAAGCGGGACTTCAGCTTGGAGCAGCTGCGCCAGTACGACGGGTCCCGCACCCCGCGCATCCTGCTCGCGGTCAATGGGAAAGTCTTCGACGTGACCAAAGGCAGCAAGTTCTACGGCCCCGGTGAGGAGTTGGAAGGGGAGGGGGAGGACCTCCTACAGCTCAGGTGCGACCCCCTTATGATGGGGAGGCCCCTGGGCTCTGGGTTAGTTTGCCAAGCCTTCTCGACGTCTGGACCCCTACGCCTTGGCTGCTGCACCTGGGACGGCCCGCCCCACACACACCCCCATCCGCGGGCACCTCCAGCTTTAACCCCGTGAAGTCCGGGTTTCAGTGTCGCCCCAGGAACCAGCTCTCAGCTTTCATCTTTCTCCCATCCCGTTCTTCCACGAAGCTTTTTCTTGCGCTGAATTTTTCAAGATCGTTTCAGTTGTCGCCCATCGCGCTGGCCCACAACCTTCTCTGAGCTTTCTGATTCCTGGGATGGGTGGGGGTAAGAAGGACGGGAGATTTCTAAAGTAGGGACCCAAAGCTGTAGGCCAGGTAATTCACAGCTTTCCTTTATTAACTCTGTTTTACCATGATCTCACTTTTCTTCCTACTATTCCCCGTAAGGCCACGTTGAGGTACACGTAGTTCCAAGTCCCCACCGTTTAGCTTATGAAATCTGGACATAAAAGCAACACCTCAGACTTTTTTTAAACCAGTTTTAGTATGGAGATGCTTTCCAAGATTAACAATGTATGTAGGATGAGGACAGACCAGAATGTAGATCTTAATAAAGACTGGCAAGGATAGTCTCCTTGAGTTTTGGGGGTGGAGCTCAATTACCGAGCAGGCGGGCCTGTCTGGTTTTTCTTTTTTTCTTTTCTTTTCTTTTTTTTTTTTTTTTTCTGATAGTGGGAAGGCAGGTATTGAAATACACGTTGATAATGACTTACTGTGTTTTCACTGAGCAGAAAAAATTTAAGAGCTCTAAATCCACACCCCAGTACACCAGTTCTGCAAGTTAAAGATTTTTAGAACTTTACTTTCAGAGAACCCTGTGTGTAGGATAGTTGGGTTAGAAACGCTTTTTCTACGATGTAGTTATAGCTTACGTTTCAGATTATGCTAATAAACTTGAGTTCAGACTTATGGAATCTGCTAGTATACAATAAAATTGAGCAACATTGTATACATCTTGGTTATGTACTGATTAATTCTAAGCTTAAAAAAAGTAACTACAATAAAAAATAAATAATAAAATTAGGGACTTAGAGTGACCTGGTGTTCAAAAGAGTACATCCAAGCCTTAAAGTCAAAGGGGTTGGCAAGTCTAGAAAACAATTTGGTTTTCTTCTTGATTTAATCTGTTAGTACATGAGATTTACTGGCACTTGCAAATATGTACTTCTGATTTCAGTGCTTGGTGGCTAGAATATGTTTTAGAAGTGCTTTGGTTTGCTGTTAAGTGGTATAGAGATAAGAAATTTTATGTGTTGAACTGTTTAATTTCTTAGTTGCTTGTATTTTTGTGTGTAGATCTACCATTCATTTTAACCAAGTCTTAGTGCTCTGGTTGTATAAATATGAAAAGCAGATGTCTACCTACTTAACTCTGCTGAAATGGTTAATACTTTTTTTGTTCGTTTGTTTACTTTAAAGTATATGGGACAAGAGAATAGGGAGTAGGCCCAAAGCACAGTAATTAAATGGACAAACCAAATTAAATAATTTTTTTAAGTGAAGAATTTACACAGTATTTTGTACCTGAAGTTTGTTCTTCATTGATATTCAAATGTATGTGCAGAGATTAGAAATTGTGTACAGGTTTAGATTTTTAATATAGCACTTACCCAACTAAAAAAATCTGCTTTTGTAACCCCTATTCAAAAGGACAATGAAACAAACAAAGTATTAGTGCAAAGAAGCATCTTAGTCCTTGCATATTATGCCTTGCCACTATCTGAAAATAGCTAGGAAAGGCTGTCATAGACACAGTTTAGCAGCCTTCAGTGGCAAATGTTCTGCAACAGAAATTAAAAATTAAGATGAGAGTTATAGATGTGATGTAAATAGCCTTTGTGTGATTTGAGCATTGAGGGGGCTCCTCATATAACAAGGGAGAAGTCAGTTTTAGGTTGGCTTCCACCAGTTCGCAGGTCTTAAAGAAGAGCCTTATAATAATATAATATATAATATATATAATATATAATATAATAAATATGTATTTTCTAAGTATTTATTGATCAACCTAGTATAGGTGTTTGGAATGTTATATTATGGAAAGGAACTTGAAAGTGGCCAGATCATCTGTGGGCTTGGAATATGTTGATATTTCACATTAATAGAAGATGTAACACTTTTTCCAAAAGTCTTGAAGCCAAATTTCTGACTATGAAACAAATATAAGTTCAGTTTGGGTTTTAATTTTTATTTTCATCCTCAAGTCAGTTGAGCACTTTTTTTTTTTTAATTTTTACTTATTTATTTGACAGAGATCACAAGTAGGCAGAGAGGCAGGCAGAGAGAGAGAGGAGGAAATAGGCTCCCCACTGAGCAGAGAGCCTGATGTGGGGCTTGATCCCAGGACCCTGAGATCATGACCTAAGCCGAAGGCAGAGGCTTAACCCATTGAGCCACCCAGGCACCCCTGGTTGAGCACTTTGTAACAGAATAATTCAGAAGCAATGATCTTAGCCTGACAATCTTAGTAGTTTGAAAGAATGAGGTAAGAAGTCAGAAAACCTCTTTTCTATGACTAGCTAATATCTACTCCCATTTCACAGTATTGGTTTTAGAGTTAAAAATTGTTTTGTGAGTCTTTTTTTCCTATGTCAAAAATACTGGTTTCTTTTTTCTTCTTTTTTTCTTTTTAAACACTGTTTTCTTAGTAATTTTTAAGGTTCAGGTTCTTAAAAAATTAAATATTGACAATTTAGTGGAGTAAACACATGTTGGCAAACAGTTGGCATTAACTACATTTGTCATCATTAAATTTAGTAACACTTTAGGCACTTGGCCAGCATGTGAGGAAAGTGGTCATATAAGAAACAATGAATATGGGAGGAGAAAGTAAATAAGGTTTGTTAAGCACCTACTGCATTAGATCCATTAGTCATCTCCACAATGCCTCAGGGAGGTTAGTAAGTATTCCTGCCCTCAGATGGGAGTCTGAGGTGTAGGTTTTTTGGGTAAATTGGCTTGGGTCATACAGACATGGCATTCAAATTCAAATATATTTGACTCCAAAGCCTATTTGTACTTCAGGTAAACTATGTTCTGGGATAAACTTCTAGAGAATCTTAACTGTTGTTTTTATACCCTCTCCTGGTTCCCATAAGGTTATAAAGCCTCAGACATGCTTGCATGGCTGTATGTTGCGCTGGCCAATATGGTAGCCACAAATCACATGTGGCTTTTTAATTTTAAGTTAATTAAAATTAAATACAATTAAAATTGACTCCCTCCATCACACTAGCCACATTTCCACTACTCAGTAGCTACATGGCTACCATATTAGTGCACTTTATGGAGTATTTCCATCTTCCCGAAGAGTTCTATTCAACAGCATTGATTGTAGAGGTCAAGGTAGAAGGATGAGGAAACTCCATTTATTGAGTTTATTATCTCATTTCATTTTCAAACAGCCCTAAGAGATAAGTAATGTTTCCATTTTACAGATGTGGCAACTGAAACTCAGGGAGGTTTTGCTCAAAATCACATACTCAGTGGCAAAACTAAAAATCAAATAGTCTGTCTTCACAGGCCATCCCTTCCCATTGTATCACTACAAAATATAATTTCGTATGGTTCTAGAGTCATAGAGTAGGAAGACTGGAACAGATAGTATAATTTTAAGTAACTTGATTTAATATTAGTACAATGAAATTGTACCAAAATAGTGGTGGTGGTGTTTTTTTTTTTAAAGATTTTATTTATTTGACAGGGAGTCAGCAAGAGGAGGAACACAAATGGGGAGTGTGAGAGGGAGAATCAGGCTCCCCGCTGAGCAGGGAGCCCCGATGTGGGATCGTGACCTGAGCCGAGGGTAGACACTTAACAACTGAGCCACCTAGATGCCCCCAAAATAGTGTTTTTACTTATTCTAATAGTTTATCCTGTATTTCTGAAATTTAAATATATTGCTTCCCCCTTATTCCAGGTAGCATACTGTTTGATACAGACCAAAGCGGCATTTTCTCCAGCTTACCTTTTGAATTCTACTGGAAAAGAAAAAGTCATATATAAAAGAGGTACCCCATGAGATATAAAAGAGGTAATCTTTAGGAGGATGGGGAAAGGAGCACATGTGCTTCTCAAGTGTTTTTCCTCCTTTTTTTAAACTTTATCTTCAATATATTAACTTTTGTTTATAGTTTGCAAAATTGCAGTTGAGGCAAGAGTTGCAACATATAGACTAGGCCCAACCTGACCTCTTCCTTCATGGATATACTATTGACACTACTCAGCTCTCATCCCAGCTACTTGCTTTGAGGCCAACTGGGTCTGTTTGGGCTAATGGCCATACACACCCATTAACTTTCAGTAAAACAAAAGGATCAGCTAAGTTTTCTGATGAGTTTTGATACTCTGCTCAAATTTATACTAGTTATTTCTATAATACCTACTCTGAGTTCAGCATCATTCCATTGTTTTTAATCTTTAAGGGAATTGTATTTGTGTTAAATGCTAATGCTAAGTATTAAAGGATAGCTGAAAGCATATATGAAACCAGAATATGTTATTCATGCTGGAAAAAAATAGATTTAGTAACATCTGGAGTTAGCTATTCAAATTCTTTAACTAATTCTTTCAGTAATTCATGACCCAGATGTCTCCTCCCCTCTGTACCCATGACAGACATCACTAAATAACTGCTATATCCTTAGAACCTGCATTCTGTTTCAAGATCACTAACATGGGACTTCATCTCCATTTTAAATACAGAGAAGGAATTCCCTGGATTTCATTACATTGTTGCTTAAATAAAATGAGTTAACTGAGTTTTCAAAACAGGTGGGGTCCTACCTGTGTAGAGTTTATAGTATATTTGGGAAAACAGACAAGAAACAAGCATTCAGTATATAATTATAATTTATAATTAAATATCCTATGAAAGAAATTAGTAGGATCTATAA